ACGGAAACTGTCCATTTCTCTCTGCATGCTTCTTTGGTTTATAACATCACTTAGCTAGGAGATTAGCACCAGCTAATTAACTAAAGTCACAGCTTCAAGATCTTTACATGGTTTCTCCCCATTATCTCCCCACAACCTACTGCAGGCAATTCACAAACAGAACTCCCCCTACTATCCCCAATTGTAGTGACAGTCATTGACTCCTGCCAGCCAGAGTTTAAATGGCCACACACCTGAAAACTGGGAATGCCGGTCCAAGCGCAAACATCTGATCCCTTCATCATAAGCCTCTCATTTCATAAGTCATATTATCCATACTATTGTTGGTGTGTGAAGCTCCAGTGTGAGGGCAATTTAGAAAGGGAGCATTCTACTTTCATGCCGGCTGAGAAAGCCTGACAAATTGGAACTTTTGTTCCTTTCGTGTTTCTCTGAGTCTGAATGAGACGCTGACTTTCAGACAAGAACAATTAAAATCCTTTGGGTTGAGAAATTTGGACTTTGAGACCCCACGCATAGCAAGCTAGATATTAATTGATAAACGTATTTTCCATCTTGTTTTATCAGCCTTTAAACTACCTGGATGTAGCATGATAAGCAACTCATTGATTAGTCTTGTATAAAGCAGGTAAAACAATTGCACAAGATGAAGGTACACTGCTTGATTAGTGCTCATGACAAGGAACTTCAGCATGTTAGAAAGGATAAGAAACTGCTACATAAGTAATATCTTATCAATAAGTGCGTAATTGAAAGATGATAGCAAGTGAGAAACCGCACGGATTTAAAAAATGGCACTGGGCATTTATGCAAGGAGACACCGATTGTGAAAGTACACATGCTCAAGGTCATGCAAAACGAAGTATATTTCTTCCAAACTCTCCCCCTCAAGTTTTTGCCTTCACATTAGGACATTTGTAATGATTCCCATGACAACCACAGATGGCAGTTGGAATATTAACTACAACAGTATACCCCTGAGATATCCCGGATTTTACCTCAACCAATCACCTGACACCAAGCACTATTTTTAAATCCAGTGTCCTTTCAGGCTGTGTTCCTGAGCACCCTCAGCTCCCACTGACCTATGCCAATCATGTAACTTCTTAAAATACAATCACCACTAGAGTCCTAAAATCCTTATATACAGATGGGAGATATTTGCATGGGGCTTCCTTTTTAAGCTACGGTAAAGTAACACGGTCTAGTTAAAAGGAAACAAAATCTCTTCTAATACCATCATCTTAGTTTATTACAATGGAAAAAACTTTGAACATAGGTTTACACTCTTAGGGTATGTCTACACTACGGGATTAATCCGAATTTATATAATTCGAATTTGGGAAACAGATTGTATAAAGTCGAAATGTATGCGGCCACACTAAGCACATTAATTCGGCTGTGTGCGTCCAAGTACCGGGGCTAGCGTCGATTTCTGCAGCATTGCACTCTGGGTAGCTATCCCATAGCTATCCCATAGTTCCCGCAGTCTCCCGCGCCCATTGGAATTCTGTCTGATTGATTTAGTTTCTGTGTTTTACTCAGCTGGAGACAGTGAAGATGCACTAGCCAATTTCATCTTTGGTATTGAGTTCTGAGCCTGCAAAGCAACGTAAGCAGGCAGCCCAATGCAGTCACTGGAGCACCCAGGCGGATCTGAATGCAGGATCATTTTACCATCCACTTCACTTTGTGGTTCTGTGCACCAGCCCAGTGCTGCAGAATCAAAATTGTAAATGCATCTGGAACACATTTAAATAAATACATCTCTTTATACTTAAATCATGTATATGCTCTATCATTAATTTAAAAACCAAATTAAAAGCAATATTTCTCCTATGCCAATAAAACACTTCTAGTAATTTTAAGACATGATTTTTAAGTTCTACAGAACATTTTTGGTTTGAACTACTTGCCAGAAAGAAATTGATACAAGATTTTTCGAGAAGCTCATTGAACAAACCTCATAAGCCTTCCGATGCTCTGGGAAGGTCTCAGCCACCAACAACTCATCCCCAGCCAGGTCTATGGCTACCACCGTATTGTTCTGGTATTTCTTACACAGCTCCACCACCTCCAACGACCAGCCTGGAAAGAAGAGCAGCAGGATTCAGGAAAAACATTCCCCCAGGGTCACCCCTGAGCTCTTGTCTAAACCAATGTGGTTGTTCACCTGGCATTGGACACTATCGGAAGACAGGATTTGGGGCCGGATGGACCATTGGTCCGACCCAGTATGGCCGTTCTTATGACTAGAAAAATTAAGTTCATTTCCAGGATTTCCCCCAAGTTTGAAGCCCTATAAAAAGCAACACAATCCTAGAGCCAGATTTACAGACCAGAGCCAGAGAGGAAGAGCCCCACCAACAAGTGAGCTCACTGCCTGTAAAGTTGGTAGGCATGACAGGTTTTAGCCCTGGTTATTAGGCCTTCCAAGGGGGAGTATCATTACAGGTCTTGACGAGAGCAAAACTCCATGAGTCAGGCACATACATTCTAAAGTGCAAAGTCACAGCGTAATGCAATCTACTGGGGCTCCCAGCTGCAAGCCCCTGCTTTCTCATTATTACAGGTCAGACAAAAGGGGCGGGGATGGGGTGGGAAGAGAGATCCTGTTTAAAATTGAAGGGTTACGCTCTGGGCATTAAGTGCAATGGCAGAAACATAATAATCCTAAGAGCTAGCTGCTATTGCACTCTTTTCATCCACAGATCCCATAGCGCTAAGTCTAAAAGAGGGTAAAAGTATTATCCCTGTTTTATTGACGAGAAGACTGAGGCACAGAGGAGCGAAGTGATTTGCCCAAGGTCACAGAGCAGGTCAGGACATAAGCCAGCATTAGAACCCAGCTCTCCCGATCCCCAGTTGGGTGTGCTAGTTATTTATGTAACGAGGTATGTACTAACGACGCAAACAAACACCCATCCCAAGCTCTAGGCACCATTTACAAACCCTTAGAAGAACGATCCATACATTGCATGCTAGTTTTCAACTCACTGAGGGCTTTAACCTGGCAGCAACATGAA